TTAAAGCTCTAATTTGATCTACACTTAATCCCGCCGGTCCATTTGCAGCAAGAGACTCTAGACGGATTATTTGTTAAAAGATGATGCCACTGAGAGGCACAATCGTTTGTTGGTCTGCCTTGGGGAAGACGTTATATTCCCGTGCTCCATTGAGCCAAGTGAGTCGCCGTTAACGGAGTTTGACTGCAGTGTAGGAAGCTGGGTAAGGTGACATCTGTGCGCCCACTCAAAAGGAGTATGTGCGATTGCGCATAGATGTACAGCAGGAACATACTTTGCCAAGTGCGATGCACTGTTTCAGACGAAACGGTATGTCGAGAATGCAGAGCGAATCCTGTGATGGTCTCCACTGGTTTTATATCACAAAGCTCCGAGTTCGGGAAGAATATGCCCCCATAATCCTGTCACCCTTTTAGTACCTGATAAACTGATAGGGACACCAGTTGCCCTGTTTGCACAATAAATATTCACAGCCGTATGAGCAAACAGGTAGTGCATGCGCGTGGTTTGTCCATTTTGAAAAATAAAAGCAAGCTTCAGTTGCTGATTTACGAACCGGGGGGTCTTACGTTTTCAGTTGCCAAACACACGCACTATTTGAAACAGAGCGTGCTGTTATGCATCAAGGCACTAATTTGCTCACCGATATTGCACTTTTTCCTTTGCTTACATGTCTGCAAGACGGATCGGGATAGTTAAACGAGTATTACGGCCATTGTTGCCTCGAAGCCAGCTTTGTGTTCTATGGTGAGGCATTTCACCACCTGGTCTTAGAGCTCCGGGAACGGTTTTCCGGTGACCAAGACAGTTTCTGTAGATGGCGTTCGAAGGCTCAGCACACTACCGTGAAGAAGAAGGGTATATTTAGGGTTGTCGGTTTGTTCACTCAAAGAAACGGCGTTCTGCAGGAGACATTACACGCTCTGGCACCTAATCTGCATTTAGTCTGCAAACAATCAGGGCAATCGCTGTCTGCTGATGACAGCCAGTTATGGTGTTTGGCTTTTAATTCTGCAGACTGGGCTTTGCTCCCGTGGTGTGTGACAACCATCTATACAGAATACGTCCAGTTTAGCATGAAAATAATTTAACAGGCTGTCAGGAGCTTTATGTTGCCGTTTTTCACTACCATCAACCAGTGGCTGACCCCCAGTTTCCGCGGACGCGGTGGTGCAGGATTTCAGAGTATGGGCCGGTGGTGCTAAATTGTAGCTTTAAATGCAAGACTTCCGTTACAGGGCCCATATTCCTTTGCTGTTTGGAAAGCCGATTCTATAATGTACCGTACGGGTGCTGTTTGCTGTATCCTAAGTGGAACAATTGCTGGAGCTCAATTAAAATAGAGCCGCCTTGATGATACCAGAACCGCTAAACCTCGGTTAGGTTCGCAGAAGCGTGTCCGAGTCGACACGTTATTGAGTACATGGGTCCGACTTTTATGGTCACGACTGTTTGCCTGAAGCCCAAGTCTACCACGGTTGTTTTTTTAAAATAATCAATCCAAATGAAAATATACCCCTCAGAATAAGCAAACCAGAACAATGACACCCTAACCACTTTTATCTTTACGTTTCCCACTAGAAACAGAAGAGATTGCCAGTAAGTGGTTGCTTTGTTTTTCGTAACTGCGTTCAAAATGGCACTGGACATACATCTCTGATACAAATGAGATGGTTTGAGGTGCACACCAAGGACCATCTGCCTCAACCGCTCGCTGCACTGCGGTGAACTTCAGAGCTGAGCGGATGCAGGCAAAATTGTCGAGTGCTCCTACAAGCCTGAGTGCAAACTTGTAGACTCCTCCACAGCGGTTGCTTCCATGTTAGCGTCCCTGTAGGCGCTAGCCAGTATCACATACCGAATAGTTGCTGAAGCGCTAAGCTTGACTAAGATTATCAGTGGGCTGTTTGCGGGTCACCATAGATCCGAGGTGTCTAGGGTGAAGTACAAAGTATCTTAAGCTTGACTAATCAGTGGGCTGTTTGCGGGTCACCATAGATCCGAGGTGTCTAGGGTGAAGTACAAAGTATCTCAGGGGAACCCAATGAAATGAATACAACTACTTGTGTTTGAAACTTGGATAAGATATGAAATCTGGCTCCTTTTTCTGCAAAATTTTATTGCATTCCCATTTCAAAGATCTAAAATGGAGAGATGTTCTATTCTCATTAATGCTGTTTAATCACTGAATAAAATGACCTTGGAACACATGCTGAGCTAAGTCAGTCTGTGCATGAAATGACGTCGAAACTATTTGATGGCAGAAAAGGTAAAGAGGTAAACGACCAAGGCTCGTAAACAGCAGCGCCAGAAATTGTACAATAACAGATTTCGGGTGCAAATGGTTGCTTTATATATCAGCTAAGAATACTGGGACACACACTACCTACCTTGGGATTCGTAAGATCGTTATGAATGAAAGTCTCGTCTCTTTACCCAACACATCGAATGAGTTCGGAATAGAGTGATGTCTCATGTGGTCGGTCAGCAATTTATCACAACACGTGCAATCACGTTTTTAATCCGACAGTTGAACCCTGAAACTGCCGGAAACAGTCTGCGTGTATAATTGGGGAGGCATAAACAGCTTACGTGTACAGACGATCCTTGGTATGTGGTATTTAGTGGATACCCCTTAAGGGTGGAAACTGTAAAGGCTACAGAATGCTTCTAGGTCATCACTATTCGTTACGTGAACAGGTCGCAGGTTATAATAAAACGGAAGCCATTTATTGGGATGGGGTCGACGCTTCGGTCATAAGGTAGCGAGCTTTGCTTTGAAGGGCTGAGTGTAACAGGAGTGNATGCGTTCCATCACCTTGCACGGCACGCTAGTGAGGCTTATAGGCCTATAGCTGCCAGGCGATAGTCGGTCACCAGTTTTGTATATTGGCGTGACAATCGCTTCCTTCCAAGCAGGGGGAAGGCGGTACAACTACTTGTGTTTGAAACTTGGATAAGATATGAAATCTGGCCCCTTTTTCTGCAAAATTTTATTGCATTCCCATTTCAAAGATCTAAAACGGAGAGATGTTCTATTCTCAGTATGCTGTTCAATCACTGAATAAAATGACCTTGGAACACATGCTGAGCTAAGTCAGTCTGTGTATGAAATGACGTCAAAACTATTTGATGACAGAAAAGTTAAAGGGGTAAACGACCAAAACTCGTAACCAACAGCGCCAGAAATTGTACAATAACAGATTTCGGGTGCAAATGGTTGCTTTATGTATCAGCTAAGAATACTAGAACGCACACTACCTACCTTGGGATTCGTAAGATCGTTATGAATGAAAGTCTCGTCTCTTTACCCAACACATCGAATGAGTTCGGAATAGAGTGATGTCTCATGTGGTCGGTCAGCAATTTATCACAACACGTGCAATCACGTTTTTAATCCCACAGTTGAACCCTGAAACTGCCGGAAACAGTCTGCGTGTATAATTGGGGAGGCATAAACAGCTTACGTGTACAGACGATCCTTGGTATGTGGTATTTAGTGGATACTCCTTGAGGGTGGAAACTGTAAAGGCTACAGAATGCTTCTAGGTCATCACTATTCGTTACGTGAACAGGTCGCAGGTTATAATAAAACGGAAGCCATTTATTGGGATGGGGTCGACGCTTCGGTCATAAGGTAGCGAGCTTTGCTTTGAAGGGCTGAGTGTAACAGGAGTGGTTCTCGTGAGCATGTATTTCAGAAATGAACTCAGAAAATAGACCTTTAGAGAATCTTGCCCTTGCACCTATGTTGCAGTAAAAAGCCTGAAGAATTGCATCAAAAATTTTTGAGCAGTGTCAAAAGGGAGATTTCTGCGAGGAAACGTATATGACTGGACCATATAATACCTCTAGTGGCAGGAAAACATCCACCGACGCTGCCCACTAGAAGTAAACCAAAATTATTTTAGACGAAACTACAAGGTTTTCAAAGTGCGGTCATTTTGTATAATTATTCTAATCCGGCTGCATGATCTGATACTGTGTTGATCATGATATTTTGTTTAGGTGAGCAAAATTTCAAGGCCATTGACCACTACCGATTTGCATTTTATTACCAGTTTGCGAGATGAAGCACAAACTCGAACTTAAGGATACTATACAATTCTGCGGTGATTTTTACAAGTGAGACAACATCCACAGGATATTTACTGCAAATTACGCCCACAAAAATAGGAGAGTAACGTTTTCGTGCATAAAGCCCCTCAAACGTGACAAATAATCTGTTCAGCGAACCTCGATGTTGCAACTTCATATATATTTAAAATTGCCTCCAATCTTGTATGACTGCCTTCCCGGTTAACAATTCAAAAGGACCGCACTTTTTGAACTGGTGGAATTGAACTTTATTTCAGTTTTGCAAGACATCCATATTTTCCGTTTTCTTTACCACGCAAGTCGTTTTTACCGCTCTGGTTATACTATTTTTGTACCGAATCCTTGGGCAGCTATATATTGTTTTAATTCATGAGTTTGAGACGCTGTTTCGTTCACGCGTTGACTGTTGATCCATATCGGCTTTGCTTGCCTTTTGGAGTACCTCACCGTTTGTCGAAAACCGTTGAGGTTTGTAATTTTGTATTCCGTGTAACTACTTTCATTTTTTATAGTACAGCACATTTGCGTAGCCATTCGTTCGGAGTTTTGCCGGTTTGGTTGCTAACCTTGGTGCACGTTGCTCAAGAATTCGAAACGGTCGTTACACTCGATACATCACATTTTCTTAGAATGCTCGCCCATCGTCCAGTATACAAAATTAAAGAGAATTCGCTTTGATAAAATGCACCTCGGTGTGTGTTAGGCACAGCAGGTCCGTAGAAACCGCAGGGTTATGAAATGCCCACACAACAAAACAAAAACTTTACCAGTAAAATATAAGCATGCTGCTTAGATAGGATGCGTCAACAAGCCCACCTACACTGACAAGAAGTGACACCAACAAATACCGACCTTCATGGTCCTTGCACGTACTCTGTCAAAATCATTTTTTCAATTTATAGACTAGTGCCATGCACGTATGTACCGATCGCCTCACGAGGCTGAATGACGCTTAGGTGGGGCACTATTGTCCGCAGCCGCCACAGGATTATATCTGTGCAAAGTTTCATCGTGGTGTGTAGTCCGCAAAGGTCATCTTTTAGAAGCCTACTTGCAAATGGATGCGGTTGGTGCAAGCGTATTCTGATAATCAACACGGATTTTGGCTTGTTCTAGTAAGAGCGATTACCTGCGGAAGAAATCTTACGGGAATTTTAGTCACAAAGTCATATGATGGGTACGTTGTAGCTGAACTCAAGGAACGAAGAAAAGCCTCTGGTTAGATCAGACTGCTAAATTTCGAAGAAGGAGGGCAACAACATATAGGTGGGAGGCAAAACTATGGCGTATTGCCCGGCACGTGATAAGTGTGGATTTTGGGGAAATAAGGGACGAGATCAACGGATTCGGAGAAGCAGCAGTTTATCATCGATCCGGCAAACCAACCTGCACCAGAACTAAGGGACATTGCTGAGGCCACGCGGCCTTGGACAGCTGAGTCTATGGTGAAGGTGACAAAGGGCCTAGGTTGTGACGATGAGGTTGAGGAAGTTGCAATACTGGTAGAAAGTGGCTTCAGTTTCACAGTGTAAAATTAAACTGCATAGATTCAATGACATTGCCGTTGGGAGAGCCGGATGCAGAAGCTCCTGGGGAGAATAAGATACCGCTAACTCTTGGGGTCCATGTTTAATATCTCCGAACGTACCAACTGTTACGCATATCTGCATTTTGAACTTGAGCGACGCGTGCCAATCCACGAAAAGGACCAAGAAATCCGATTTATTCGCATCACGGTACTATTGCGGAGATAATATTACACATTAAACAAACTTCAACAGATTCTCTTCTGCAGCTACCGGAGGAGTTAAAAAATAAGGCGGTGCCGTCACTAGCCTGGGAATAAAGCACAGATCATTTCGGCACAAGTTGGATATCGTCGCAACGAAACAGATATCGACGGCGAATAACCACAAAAAACACATTGTCCAACCAGTTATAAAAATGGTCCATTAAAACAAGAAGGAGCACATTTTAGACAAGCCGTCTTTTCCACCAACTGCAGGCCGAACATCACAGGACTCAGACTATGGCATCTTGATAGAGGGAACGTTTTGCAGGCTCTGTGATGTGGGTAACACAACATATGCCTCTGGGTGTCGTGGCATGGCCGAAGTGAGGGTTCTGGTGAACTGAATAAGTTGGCGTCTGTGTCCATTCAAAGGTTCAAGCCCTCCGTGCAGCACCCGCTGCCGAACGCCAGTTGACTACTTTCTTGTTGCGGTGTTTACATTAAAGCACATGGGCAAGTGTCTGACGCCGTATCTTGACCATATTTCCGTTTTCCGTCCGTTCAGAGGAGCTAGGCAATCCATAAGTCGCCCACGATTGAATTAGTGAATGGGATTGTCCTCTGAATCGAACTGTCATTGTGACAGTGCTGTTCGTCTTTTCCACGAAACTTTCCCTTAGACTTACATGTGGCCCTCAGTCATACGACCTTTGGAGATTTCTTTTAAGAAGAGCAGGACAGAAACGGAGTAGTCACAGGTATCACATCTTGTTGTCCATGACAACGATCTGTGGAGCCCCACATCAACGGAGTTCCTGGGGGTAACCCACCGGCGGCCAGTCCGGTAGTTGAGATGAAAAAGACAGAATCAACGCTCAAAAACAATGGAAAAACGGATTTCCACAGGAGGATTAAATGTCCACACGCTTTTGAACTTCGAAGCCAGTTACCACTATAGGATAGCTGTACGGTCGGTGATCACGACCATTTATCTTGTTTTCCGAAGGCGAAGTGCCTAGATGCCAAGGGACAACTCTGGCCAGCACTGAGATGTGTTTTTGCTTATAATGTTATCACAAGATATCCCACGTGGTCAAGCCAAAATCTGCATGATGGTGCAGGATATGCCAAGGTCAACGGTTTCACCCCTGATTGGCCCATATGCTGACCAATCACACCACACCCGTGGACTCCGTAGCCGGCTCGGGGCTCGTCCGCGCAGCCGAAGCGGTGATTTTTCGACGGCTCAGCACCCCATCAGCTGTTTTCTGCTGCAAGCACTTACATCATCATCAGCACCACCATCCTAATCTTCCTCATCGCCAGAATCAGAGGCATCGGCGTTGACACTGATGCCTCGCTACCGTACTACCACATTTTATTTAACTATATTTAAAGTCGCAAAGTGGAATGGACTAGAGAGTTACGTGGTGCAAGTCTGCCGCAAGCATTCCGAGGCGTCTACACTTTCGAACACTCAGCCAGAAATTTTGAAAAGCAATGTACGTACCCCATTGACATCGATTAGCCTCCGTCTCTTGCGGCTCCTGCTATTACCACAACCTCACGAAGAATTTATTGTTGTATCCCCTCATGCTAATTACCCGATAAACACCTAATTTACGATTACGTAGTTATACATCACCGATGGACGGCGCTTTAGATGTCACTGATTTGTGTTCATATCATTGAAATCGCCTTCACGTAGAATCCGTGTCAGACGCCGAAGATTACGTGATAAAAACCTTTAACTGTATGCAGAGTGTAACTGGAGCAAAACTTGAAAACCTGTTGCAGTGCACAGATACCAGCATAACGTTACGTTTTCCATTAAACTCCAACTCTTGAACACCTCGTAATTTACGAAAATGAGAAGCCGAAAGTTGTGGTAATAGTGTTAATCATCCGCAAGGGCCATATAACAACACAAACCTTATTGTAGCCTGGCATACAGGACAATTGAGACACAGTGGTATGCCTTTTCAGCACCATAAGTATCGCAAATTAGTAAGGTTTATTCAGGCCTCGGATTCATGAGCTGACGCGTCTCCGTCAGAATTAATACAACTGCCGAAGTGTGTAAAATTCTTCACAACCTCCAGTGATCCCCCTTGAATTGCAAGGAGCGAAGGACTTTGCACAATGTACGGGACACCACTGTTGTTGGTCGCCTTCATGTTTTCGTTGTTCTATCACCTGGCGGAGTGTGAGGATGTGGTGGATGCAGCCTCTGCATTGTTTAAATCCCGTTTCGTGTTCATGTGTCGAGGTTTCGCGTGTCGCCATAGGGCAACAAAAAATCAATGATGCCGGAAGCTTTCTTGCAGCTTTCTCCTTATCACATCCACTGCCTTATCGACTCATCCCAGTTACGTCCAAGTGGACGTAAATGGTCTAATCAGCCACTGGCAGGGTAATTCACCTCCATCCTTGAACAGAACAAGTAGGAAGTCTTCGAGACCAGACGCATGGTGGTAAATATATACACTCGAACACTTCTGGGGTTGAAGGGAGATGCAGATCCACCATCCACTTTCCTGTTCAACGCCGATAGTCCGGATCAAAGGTTGAGTTCAGTTTATCAGCTATACCCCATGTACCAAGGCTGCGGTGGTTCCGACTGCTACAGTTTCAAACACGGGAATATGGAAGGGTGTGGGAGTTACAGCCAAGCATTGAAGAGGATTGCATGTTCAATCATTTTGGGAACTGGTCAGCTACACATTGAAGTCGATAGCTTTGATTCACGAGCGCCACTGACTAAGTGATTGGGGGATGCCCACCAGTTCCATTCAGAGAGGTGGCAGTTGCTGACTTGATTAAGTTTACTGGATAGTGTTTTCGCACTTCGTTGCCAGGTCACATACTCCACTTTTCGGTAGCTTTCTCTCGGCGCAGACACAAACAGTTTTCTGGCTTGCGGAGTACATCTCTTAACCAGCGTAATCTATGAAACTTGAGTAATTCGTTTATCGTGGGAGATTTCCTTCTATTTTAGGCCATCTGGCGTACTTCAGCATTGCTAATTCGATGTTCTCACCAGATCTGGCCAATGCTTCAGAGACACCGATGGTCAAACATTGACATTTCTCGCATGTCCATTGCGCGTAGAGGCCACATCTGTGACCCGTAAAGCAGTATGGATCGCACCGTTGCATTATGAACGTTGCCCCTGACAGACAAACTGACGTCACGTCGGTGCCATAAGTGCCGGAGGTTGGCAAAAGCTGCTCTCGCCTTTCCGGTCCGAGAAGTAACTTCATCTGTAGCCACTCCACCAGGACTTATCTATCTACCTATCTATTTATCTACCACGTTGATCGGCTCGTCTACAGGCATAAGGTTTGGGTTCTGTTCCACTCAGTCTTGTAGCAGCACTTTAGTTGTGTAGGTCATGGTTGTTGGTTGGGACATGTTTTACGCATGCCGAACCATCGTTTGCCGAAGAGAGTACTGTTTTCCATGCCCAATTCGGAGTGACGTAAACAGAGAGGTGGCCAACCCATGACCTGGCAGAGGAGTATGAAGGAGATCACGAAACGCTTGGGTGCTGTCGGTGCTACTCGCCTTCCAGGATGGGGACCGCGTGATCCTCACTGTGCCTGGTTGGAGACACTACAAGATATGGCTGCCAACCGATGTCAGTGGCGTTCTTGTTGTCAGTTTCTGTCCAGATTGCCTGAATGAATGTCTGGAGGTGTAGGCACCTCGGAATGATTGTGTTAAGCTAGCACCAAGTCCCTCCCCCATCCACCTTTATTCTTTTCTTTACAATAAGGCCTTCAAATAAGTCATGGCTGTACGGCAGTGAAGCATCGAAGTGATTGGGGGATGCCCACCAGTTCCATTCAGAGAGGTGGCAGTTGCTGACTTGATTAAGTTTACTGGATAGTGTTTTCGCACTTCGTTGCCAGGTCACATACTCCACTTTTCGGTAGCTTTCTCTCGGCGCAGACACAAACAGTTTTCTGGCTTGCGGAGTACATCTCTTAACCAGCGTAATCTATGAAACTTGAGTAATTCGTTTATCGTGGGAGATTTCCTTCTATTTTAGGCCATCTGGCGTACTTCAGCATTGCTAATTCGATGTTCTCACCAGATCTGGCCAATGCTTCAGAGACACCGATGGTCAAACATTGACATTTCTCGCATGTCCATTGCGCGTAGAGGCCACATCTGTGACCCGTAAAGCAGTATGGATCGCACCGTTGCATTATGAACGTT